CGGCTCCGGCATCAGTGCGGTGCGTGAGGGAGCTGAAGAGGAAGCACTGAGTGCTCCCTCGCGCGCCCGCCTTCCTGCCCGACCGGCCACCCGCCCGCCGGGGTCAGCGGGGCCCACGGGGCAGGTGCCTCGGGCCCCCCAAGAGAAACTGGGCCCGGGGCAGCTGCCCCGTTTGCCCCGCGTTAAAGACGGCCCTGTGTACTCTTTTTGGCCATGTGAATCCAGAAATTTGGTTATGTGTCTTCAGTTACTTTTTGTGCTTCTACATGCCAAACAAAAAAAACTACTTTTTGAAAGAAGGGATTTGGTTTATTTTCTTTGATGTGATTATGTGTGAGTTTCTGATTTAGATTAGGGGCTCCACTATAAATGATTCTTGGCTCTCTGGCAATATAGTGTAGAGCAGGGGTAGGCAACCTACGGCACTAGTGCCATGCCTGGCACTCGAGGTGTCTTTGCACGGCCCTCTGGCCTATCAGGAGTCCCAGTAAAACTTCAGATATCTGCTAATACGAAGAGGTGGTGGAGGACAATCCAGATCACTTCCTCCCAGCACTTGTGAATGGGAATCCACACTGTAGTAGAGCAGCCCTCGACAGATATCACAGCTCCTGTCCTTGACCTGTACCTGGCCAGCCTGGTCCCCACTTGAACCCAGGGAACCCACCCACACTGCTAGATATACACAGAGCTGCAGAATAACCCTCCCCTCATACAAATAATATGAACAGCCCACACACACACAGAACCCACAATCCCCACAAACGCAACACCACTAACAATCCACATACATGCACACAACCCCACATGCAGCCTCTCACATGCAATACCCCAAACAGCCCCACACATACACACACTACCAAATACACAATGTGACAAATCCATCCACACACAAGTCCACAAGCAGCCCTCATACACAGCCCACATTCATATGTATCATACACGATACCATAAACTACTAATGAACATATACAATATAATAGCTCATATACGCACAAATACAAAGATACAAAGCAATTACAGTAAAAATAACACAAGCGGAATACGGCAGCATACACACCTCAATTTAAAAAAATAGGACCGGCACGGTACGGGACATCACAATCCTATATCGGCACAGTGCTGCTAAAAGGTTGCCTACCCCTGGTGTAGAGCATTGGGTCATTCTTCAGAATTGGCCAGTATTCATTTATTATTCATTTTACTTTATAACTATCTTGATTAAAATTACAGATAAAAGGCATGATACTTTTTTGTTTTCTATTCTGGATTTGTATTTTAAAAGAGAGGGTCTATCTATTTCCCCTACTTCTTTTAGCATATTTAATAATGAGTTCTCCTTTTTCAGTGAATTGGTCCTTAATTCTCATCGCATGTGACTGAAAAGTGCTTATGTACATGCAATTCCTGCTTATCCAATGGAATTGTGACCTTGGTATATTCTTAAGCCAGGGAGAAAAATGGCAGCTATTTAAATAAATTAATTGTTTACATCCACGGATTTAAAATACGTTTTTTTTTTTATTTGGTTGTTTTCTATTTAGTTAAGTCTAAAAGGTTCACATTAACGTTACTATATTCTGTAGTAAGAATTATTCCCCATTTATTTGTATTTTAAAAAGTTTAAAAAGTCTCCAGACTTTCTACTGTGCCATTCCAAATAAAAAAAGATGTCTATGTACCGCTTATAGGAGACCAGGTTCGCTCTCCAGTGTTTTGATAAATTCATTTTCCCAGAATGCCATAAATAAATTAGCTTAACTGGGTGCTAACCTGGTCCCCATAGCGGTACCGACCAAAATCCTTATTGTACCAAAAATAGTTATTTAAAGGATAAGTTCTATACCCTCTAATATAAAATGTATTTGTTCTTCAGGGTAAATACTTGCTTCTTTTAAAAAGAAATCCACTGCCTCTGTATCTTTTGAATGGGAAATGATAGTGTATTGGGAACCAACATCTGCAGTTACCAGAATAAAATGAGATTCCCATTGTACCTCCTGTAAAGTCTGAATAATATTCAGGGTATCTTTTAAATAACTGGGTGTTTTTTGGACTATTGGTTGCAGACATTTGTCCAGGTACTCCGACAGTCTACTAGAAATTGAGTCTATTCCTGAGACTATCGGCCTACCTGGAGCATTATTGAGGTTTTTGTGGATTTTTGGCAGGTGATAAACAGGTATTTTTGTTTTTTTGATATTTAAATACGTAAAAATTCATTTTTGTTTAGTATATCTGCATCTTTTCCTTTCTGAAACAAGGTATCAAATTTTTTCCTTATTTCACTGATAGGGTTTTCTCTTAATTTTTGATATGTATTTGGATCCTCTACTAATCTGAGTCCTTCTTGTATATACTTTACTGTATCCATTACAACGTAGAAGCTCCCTACAAAGATAAGTACTACTTTTTTCCTTTCAGTTTTAGGTTTGTTTTTGAACAGAATATACCTTTAAGTGATGCTTCATAGTATTCTGCACTTGTCACGTTAATATTTACTTAAGGTTTACTTACCTTGGATCTCTGGGATTTCCTCTCTGTAATGGTATTTATTAATTAATGACTTTTTGTCATAAAAAAAGCATAATGAGCTTAATGCTTTAGACGCACCACTAGATGTCAGTAAAGCATATTTAGTGTAATGCTTTGGGGGCACCACTAGAAGGAGTGTGTAGGAAGACCTGTGCTTCTGGCAGTGACATCACAGGCCAGCCTACTTACACTGAATAAAAACCAGATGTTAGGAGAAGCAAGCTCTCTGTTTGCCTGTACCTGACTGATCATGTAGTACCAGCTCTGACTTAACCCCAGCCAAAGGGCTGGGGCCTTGTAAGTAAAATGTTGAATAACAGCTAGCAACTGTTATAGCCTTTTTTTTTTTTTGACAATCTTTATTTTCCTTTTTATCATTTTGTCACAGAAATGTGTAGATACGGTGAAACATCAGTTGTAACATCATATTTCTGAATAGCATAACAACATTCGTAGCCTTTATACTAACATTCTCAAATCATAAATATTTCAATAGTTTCCTTCACATGCATTAGGTAGTGTAACATATGATCAGGTTTCAAGGTTCCTAGCTCCTCTTGCATTCAGTGCGCAGTTTGTTGCACTTATGCTGTGCACTCTACGTTTAGGGTGAGGACCGGTATCTGGTCTAGTAGCTGTAGGGGGTATTTAAGGTGTCCGTCCTGGAGTACTCCAGGTATCGGTGGTTTGTGTAGTTTGTTCTAGCGGGTGTTATGTCTTCCTGATGTCTGTTGTGGTCTGGGGGGGGTGAAAACTGTCCGTAGTCTGTGTGTGGTTAATGGGTAGGGCGTGTCTGTGCTTATGAGGGGGTAAGGCAGTTAACGTGGTGTTCTGTGAGTTTCAGCTATATTGGCTCGGGGGTTACAGTTCCATCTGCCACGTATGTGGTCCATGGGTACCAGGTCAATGCACACCGCTCCGATTTCCCGTGGAGGTCGGCCGTCAGGGTCTCCATTGAGTATATGTCCTCTACCACTGACATCCATTGCCCCAAGGTGGGCGCTCTTGGCTGTTCCCACATCCTCGGGATAAGGGATTTGGTGGCATTGAGTAGCGGCAGTTCCAGGGATTTTTTGTATGCTGTCAGTGGGCTTCGGGTGTGGTGCAAAAGCATCGTTAGGGGTGCCAGGGGGATATCGGTGCCTGTAATTTTGTTGATCTCTCCTCTAATTTGTTCCCAGAAAGGGGCAATTACTGGGCATGACCACCACATGTGGAGATACGTGCCTGGTTGTGTGCCACATCGCCAGCACATGCCTGACGTGGTACCGTGCATGCGGTGCAGTGTGTCGGGCGTTCTATACCAGCGCGTTAGCACTTTATAGTTTAATTCCTGATATTTTGAGCTGATAGAGCATTTGTGCGTGAGGGTATAAATCTTGTCCCATTCGTGCGCAGTGAGTGTCTCTCCCGCATCCCTCTCCCAGTGATCCTTGAACCTAAGCTCCACGTCCCTGTTCGTCTGAGTCGTGAGTAGGGTGTACAGGGTTGAAATTCCCCTGGTGATGTGTGTGCGTTGCACACATAGGGTTTCAAAGTCAGTTAAGGGTCTGTGTAGGTGCCCCTTACCCGACAGGGCTGAGTAGTAAGATTTTATTTGGCGGTATCTAAACTGTTCAAGGAATGTAGGTGTTCTGTCGGGGCATAGTTCTCCGATTGTTTTTAGGCCGTTGGAGCTGAGCCATTGGTGTATATATGACCAGTCCGTCGGTTGGAGTCCGGCTAGGTCACCTCGAGTCAGTGAATCTGCCAAGTCCGGGTTATGTGTGAGGGGGATCAGGGGGCTGGGCGAAGTGGTGAGTTGTAGACGGTATCGGGTTGCCATCCAGACCCTCAGGGTGGCGTCTATTAAGGGATTTTTAGTTTGTAGATCTGCATGCGTAGCAGTGTGTAGCCATAATGTGGGGGGTATGTGCCCTCCCGACTGTTCCAATTCCAGCGTGACCCATTGTTTTGTGGGATGCTGTGCGTGCCAGTCTGTGAGCCTGTGTAAATGTGCGGCCCGGTAGTATGTCTCAATTGAGGGCAGGCCGGTACCCCCCAACGGTTTTGGCAGTTCCAATGTCGTTCTCTTGATGCGTGTTGGGCGCGAATTCCAAACGAATCTGCGGATGGCGGTCGACAGGGAGCTAAAGAACGCCCTGGGGACCGCGATCGGCACCGTCTGGAATAAATAGAGCAGTCTGGGTAGTAGGTTCATTTTGACTGCGTTAATGCGTCCAAACCAAGATATATATTGTGGGGCCCATTTTCTCATGTCTGCCTGGATCTTTTGTAGCAGCGGGTGGTAGTTTTGGTAGTACAGTTGGGTCATGTCTTTTGATAGCCATATACCCAGGTATTTCAATTTAGTGGGGCACCATTTGAAGCGGAATTGGGTGTGTAGTGTCGTTGAGGAGTCCTGGGGGCTTGGAAGGTGAAGGGCTTCTGACTTATCTGTGTTGAGCTTAAGGTTAGATATCAAGCCAAACCTTCGGAATGCGGCCAGAAGATTAGGAAGTGATATCCGCGGAAGGGTGAGGAAAAACAACATGTCATCCGCGTATGCCGCAACTCGATATTCTCGCCGGCCGACGGTGAATCCCGTGATACCCCCATCTCGTCGGACCGCCCCCAGGAAGGGTTCCAGGGAGAGGGCAAACAGGAGGGGGGACAGCGGGCAGCCCTGGCGGGTTCCATTTCGAATGGGAAAGGGGGTGGACAGAGCACCATTCACCCGAATCCGTGCCGTCGGGCTCGTGTACAGGGAAAGGACCCATGATCGCATGCGTGGGCCGAATCCCATGTGTGTGAGTGTTTCCTCCAAGTACAGCCAGTCCACCCGGTCGAAGGCCTTCTCGGCATCTGTCGAGAGGAGGAGTAGCTCCCGGTGTTGCGACCTTGCTACTTGCAGTATGTTTAGGGCTTTGATGGTGTTATCTCTTCCCTCCCTCTCTGGGATGAACCCGACCTGGTCCGAGTGCACTAGGTGTGGTAGGTGCTTCGCGATTCGCAGGGCTAGTGTCTTGGCGAACAGTTTGAGGTCTGCATTGAGCAGGGATATGGGGCGGTAGCTAGCGCAATTCGCTGGGTCTTTACCTTCTTTGGGTATCACCGTGACTATGGCCGCTAGTGTGTCAGTGGGAAACCGTTCCCCGTCTTGAAGTGAGCTAAGACCTCGTAGGAGGTTCGGCAATAATACATCGCGGAATGTACGCAAGTATGCCAGCGGAAGGCCATCTGGGCCAGGCGCCCTGTGGGATTTGGAGATTTTTAATGCTGCGGCTAACTCTTCTATCGTGAGGGGTCGTTCTAGTTCCTCTATCATTTCTGGGGTCAATTGTCTTTCTACATTTTGGTCTAAGTACTCCGTTATTTGGCCCCGGCGTTGGGCCTGTATGGTGACCGTCGTGGGCTGGGGGATATTATATAAGTCGGTGTAGTAGTCCACAAAAGCACGTTGGATTCCGTCGGGTAAACTTGTTACAGTCTTGTCTCTAGTGTTAATTTTGTGTATGTGGTTCGCCCTTCTCCTGTCTTGAAGCTGGCGGGCTAAAAGCCTACCGCTCTTGTTGGAGTACTCGAAGAAGTGCCGAGCCGACTTTCTAAGGGTGCGCAAAAGGCCCTTGGCTAGTATGTCCCGTCTCTGCCTCCTAAGCTCCGTCAGTCGGTGGTACTCGTTTTCCCCCTGATTTTGTTTGTGTGCCCGCTCTAGTGTGGTGATTTGTGCGTTTAGGGTGGACAATTGTTGTGTGCGTTCTTTTTTACGCTGTGAGCATATTTTGATATAGTGGCCTCTAATGACACATTTATGTGCCTCCCAGATTGTTAGGGGGGGGGTGTCTGGCGTGTTGTTAGTGTCAAAGTATTGTGTCAGTGCTTGCCTGGCTTGTTCCTTGTCCACTAGGTCAAGTAGTAAGTTTTCGTTCAACTTCCATTGCCGCTCTGCAGGTTTATGTAGGGGGGATTGGATTTGTACTGTAATGGGGGCGTGGTCAGAGTCTGCGATATGCCCTATGCTAGCTCGTTGGAGTAGTGTTAGGGCCTCTTGCGCCATTAGGATGTAGTCTATTCGGCTGTAGCGTCGATGTACAGCCGAGTAGAAGGTGTAGTCTCTGCCCTCGGGGTTAGCCACTCTCCAGCAGTCAGCTAAGCCACACCGGGCTAAGGCCCTCCCTGTTGAGCGTATGCAGTGACCTGGTATCGAAGTTTCTCCCCTAGATGTATCCAGCCTAGAGTCAAGGGGAATGTTGAGGTCTCCTGCCACTATCAGAAGGCCTTCTCTGAATTTGTTTAGTAGGGCTAGCGTTTTAGTTAGGAAGACGTGTTGACGTCGATTAGGGGAGTACAGGCAGGCAAATGTGTAGGTGGACTGTGCTATCGTGCCTTTGATAAATACGTATCTACCCCCGGAGTCTGACTTCTGCTCCGTGCAAATGAATGGGACTGTACTGGAGAGTAGGATTGCTACTCCGGCCTTCTTCCCGTCCGGGTGATTAGCATAGAATCCTGTGGGGTAACGCCCGTTTCTCACGGTTGGCGCCTCTGTACCCTGAAAATGTGTTTCCTGTAAGAACGCCACTGAGGCGCGCTCTGCCCACAGTGTGCGAAGTAGTTGGGACCTTTTTTCGGGAATGTTTAAGCCTCTTACATTGTTAGACCATAGGGTCAGTGGTGTCGGCTTGTAGTTAGAGCCCATCTCTATCAGCGTTTGTTGTGAGGCGTGTGTGGGTATGTGTGCGTCAGTGGTTGATGGGTATAGGGGTAAGGTCTGTCCGGTGTCTGGGGAGGGTGATAGTCTGTCCAAGAGAAAGGCAACTGTGACTCGCCTCGGTTTTTGTCGCCTTCTGGTGTCTGTTCCCCTGGGGGTGAGTCACCTCGGTGGCCTCCGAGTGTATATACAACGTGAGTCCGTTGCTTGGGGTATGCGGTCCCTCTAGTGTGGGTCGTTCGATAGTGTTGTGTCGAGCCTTTCCCTTGGCTCCCAGCTCAGCTATTGTGTTGGGTTGTAGATCTCTCCGAGTATGTTCCCGTCCCGGAAACCCCACCCGCCTTCTTTGCCCCTCCCTGTCTCGGCCTATGTATGGCCTGTGTATGTGTCTGACTCTAGCTCGGGCCCCAAGTTTCACGTCATTCTGTAACTGTTGCTACCCGTATTGTACCGCGTCCGCGCAATTGTTTACAAACAATAAAAACCATAAACCAATATAACAATCATAATAAACAGTTGTGGAGCAAGGCCCCCCATTCTTCCCCCCCCCCAAAGGGAGCTCCCCACACCCCCCCCTTGGTGGCCCCATTGCATGCCTGAGAGGCCCTCGGCTGTCCAGAAGGTGCTGGGATCTATGCTATCGGTCGTGCCCTTCAGGCTAGAGCTTGGGGAGATCACCCTTACAGCGGTGGGTATAACCCCGGTATGGTGGCAGCCTCCCAGCTTCCACCCCCGCACCCCCTCCACCCAAAGGTAGCTGGTGTTCCCGGGCCTTGGCAACTAGGAGAGTCCCAGCGTGGCATGTCCATGCAAAGTCTATCTCCTGGGGGTCCCCACCCCTGGTTGTGAGGCTCAGGTTAGGCCACCCCCTGCTAATGAGGATCTGGACCCCATGTTGCGGGCTTAGGTCAGGGAATCAAGTACATACCAAGTTGTGCTGTGGTTCGACCAGGTGGGTGGGGGGCAATGTCATCTCGTGGTGCCCGACACCCACAGGAGCTTCCGGTGGTCGTGTCTAGGCCTTCTGAGCTGTCTTGTGGCCTTCTCTCGTAGTGGCTGGGGGGCCGTTGGTGGGGTGGCAGGTCGACGGTCGGGTTAGCAGAATGGGAGGTAGGGGAACAGGTTCATAGGGGACAGTTATTCTTCATGGCTGTCTGGGCCACCCCGCCGGAACCCGCTGCCTGTGAGGCCCGTGCCCGGCCTGTCGCTTACCGCCCGTGGATGCTGTGGTTGTCGCTCCAGGACCCAGTTGGATATCGTCACCGCGGGTAGACTCGTGGCTCGTAGGAAGCGTGGAACATCAGCTGGCCAGCGGATGATATGCCAGGATTGGCCCACCCTCGCCTGCAGGCTGAAGGGGAAGCCCCATTTGTACGGGATCCTCCGCTCCCGGAGAATGGCGGTTACTGGACGTAGCGCCCTCCTGGCCTCTAGCGTGAGCGCGGAGAGATCCTGGTAAAGCGAGACCTGCCCGTCTCTAAAGGCGATGTTCTGCTGATTGCGCGCCGCTCTCATGATGCCATCTTTTAAGGCGTAAGAGAGCAAGCAGCAGATTACATCTCGGCGGTCCCTCAGGGGACAAGGGTCTCAGCGCTCTATGGGCTCTTTCGATACCGTAGTCTTCTGGGGCTCTGTCACCCAGAATATGGGTAAACAGGTCTGTCAGGAGCTCTGGCAGCGTTTCGTCCGCGTTTTCGGGTAGGCCCCTTATGCGGATATTGTTCCTCCTTCCGCGATTGTCCAGGTCTTCTAGTTGTCTCCTGAGATCTAGTAGGACATTGCCCTGTCTGGTGGTGGCAGTTTCTGTGGCCTGTTGGTGCTGCACAGTCTGGGCTCTGTCTGCTTCAAGGGCCTCTACCCTTTGTTCAAGGGCTGTCAGGTCTTTCCTCACCTCCATGACTTCCTCCCTGATTGCAGTCCTGATTTCTGCCAGCATCTCAGCTTTGTCAGCTCTGGACAGCATATTGGCAGTGATCTTGGCCAGCTCGGATGAAATATGCGCCAGAGTGTCTCCCCTGGGTGAGCCCTGCGTCAGGCTGTCACTGCTGCTGTCCCCTGGGGAGGCCGGCGCCATTTTGGATGCGGCCGGCGCGGACCGCATGTCTCGCGGCGTGCATACATAGCCGTCCATGGGGCCTGAGGTGCGACCCGGCGAGCTGGCTTGTGAGGGTCCCGGCATGTGGGGTCTCCGGGATTTACCCATCCCGGGTCGGATAGCGCTCGTTGATGGGTGCTAGTGTGAGCTGGGGCCGCGGAGCAGGTTCAGGATGCGTCCTACTCCATACCCGATCAGGCCACGCCCCCTGTTATAGCCTTTTGTCAGTAATGTTGTAGTTTTGTATTGTGTAATTATTGTGGTAAATTGACATTCTGCTAGCATTTGTTTAATTGTTATTATAATTATATTAAATATACATTTAATACTACAATGTTTTGTGTATTTCCTATTATATATTCGACCATAATACCGAACTCTATTAATGTTGTTATTTGTTGCTTAATTATTATATATTAATTATTAAATTAATATTCATATTTAAGTCACGACTATAACACTTGGCGACGAAGATATGGGATTATGCTGGAATATTAGGGAAAATACAAAAGTTATGCATTTTGTTTAATACATAGAGTCAATTGTCTGTCTGTATAGAAGTGAATAAATGAATGATGATTTAATATGTAATGGAATGAATGCAGATAGCAGATAGGGATTAGATATTTGTTTTTAATGCATCTCTTGTTGTAGAACATAGTGATGAATTATTGTGTTGCTTGTTACCAATCTTTGGTTCATTTGTATATAGAAAAAAAATATATACTTTACCTTTTGTCTGACCATGTGGATTTTAATCCACCATTGACCACATGGTGTGAATGAGTTGAGGCCTAGTTTAATTGTTTGCTACCATTTGCATAGGAAAAAACTTTTCACTAAACTAGTTCACCAGGTTTTATTGCTAAATTTGACCCTGTTTGTGTACTAATTTACATTTGTTTGGCATTCATGGATTTGTCTAGTTGAAAAGAGATTTGGACAAAATGTATTAAATTAGTAGTTAAGAAAAAGATACGTTTAGTAAAGCAGATTCAGTGAATAATAGATTTATGTGTGCGTATACACAGAATATTAGTATAAATATATATATGATTTTGACTCATGAAGGAGAGACCACCTTTTTAACAGCTGTGTGACCATGCTTTTCAGCTACAGCTGGGGGAGAATTTGTCCTTGTTGGGGGTGGGTAGTCTTGCCTGTATGAGAAAAAATAAACTGCATTGTTTTGTAAATGTAATTGCCTAAGCTAATCAATTTGTGGAGTGTTTTTCAGCTTTATTATCCAGGACTAAGGAATTACTGGACATATGCAGGAACTGGTAACAAATGAACTGAAAAATGGTAAAATAATTCCTTTGTCCTATTTAGTCTGAATATTTTAACAAGTTAGCATTTTTAACAAAGTAAGTGTAGGGGCTCAGATTAAGATTTATATTATTTTAGAAGCCATCTATAACTGATTTTAATATTTCCATGCTTTGAATTAGGGTGTATCTGCCTAGCGGGTGAACCTCCATAACGTGGGCTGTGATTTTAGTTACAGTAGCGGGTGGGGAACCTGAGCTAGGGGGTATTTAAACGTGTCCGGATAAGGGGGAGCATACCCAATAGTTGTTGTGCAGTTCTATCCTGTATTATTATTTGAAACCCTGTATTACTTATAAGTAGCGTTTTGTAACTTATTTGTAATTGTTTATATATATTGCTCTGGGAAAGGGATAGGCAAAATCTCTGAGAGACCAGGAAATATATTTTTAAAAAAGGGCGTATTACACTAGTGGTAGGGTGGCCTATCATGACCATAGAGACCCTTGGTGACTAGTTTTTGTTGTATATTGCCCTGGGAAGGGGATACGCTATTTAATAGAAATTCCTGAGAGACCAGGAAATATACAATAAGTGATACGTGAGTGTACTGGTTAAATTGCAGACATATTGGCCCAGAACCTTTAATCGAGCCGGAAAAGAGGCTGCTGTATGTTTGCTCCTCTATAATTTTGCGGGGGCGGTCACCCCCATGCGGAAAGCCACTGCCATCACAGGGTGGTTAGTTGTGCAGGCCCTTAGCCGCGAGGTGCAAGCATGTCCGTGGAAAGGCTAGAAATTAATAGGGAGTCACTCATAGCTGTCAGAAGTGTTGAACTTTGAGACATATTGACCTATATCCTTTCAGAGGCGGAAGAGGTGTTGTGGTTCACTCCTCTATAATTTAACCAAAGGGTGGAAAGTTATTAAACATGTTTAAGTTGGCTAGAAATTTGTTACTCATAAGTCCATTTGAAATCCTGTATTGCTTAAAAGTTTGTGTCAGTTTTATATTGCCCTGGGAAGGGGATTAGCTATTGTATATCCCTGAGAGACCAGGAAATATAAAATAAGTAATACGTGTGTGTATTGTGTATCTGCCTAGCGGGTGAACTGCCATAACGTGGGCTGTAAACTTAGTTACAGTAGCGGGTGGGGAACTTAGGCTAGGGGGTACTGAGCATATCTGCCTAGCGGGTGAACTGCCATAACGTGGGCTGTAAACTTAGTTACAGTAGCGGGTGGGGAATTTAGGCTAGGGGGTACTGAGTATTGGACTTTTAGTGTTGTGTACTCCTGAATTGCAAGGAAGATGCAGAAAGCAGCTATTAGCTGATTGTTTATTTTAAGAGCCGAGTAGAAAAATTAAGAAAGTTACCTTGTTGAACAAATTGTTTATAAAATGAAAAGCTGAAGGAATGTGTTTACATGTCTGTGTGTGTGTATATATATATATATATTCTAAGTAAAATATTTGCAGTATACGCTATAAGTGACTAGGAAAGTAATCCTGATCTGTTTCCTAACCTTTTCAGATGTAGCAGAAACCAGAGGTGGACATTGGAACACAGATAGAATATCAGATGGAGACCAGTGTTTAAATGTTGACCTTTGATGAGCTATTGAATGTTTTATTTTATTGTCTATTTAACATGTCTATGCTATGATTTTGTGCATACTATTCTCTTATTTCTAGTGATTGTATTGCAATTGAAACCCTTATGTATTATTGTTGTATGTATGTATGTATGCTTGCCTGGGAAAGGGGGGAATTGACCCATAGGGACCAGGGGGTATTTTTGTGTAAACCAAACATTGTCCAGTAGGTGCTTGATTTGTGTCTGTGCATGAGTGGATGCAGTTAAAAAAAAAACAAAAAAAAAAAAAACGGAAGAATGATAAGAGGGATAAGAGAAAGTAGGCATTTTGGGTTATCTATACATGTTTAAATAGAAGGGTGGTAAATAGGAATGTAATTGTTTTGGTTAATGTTTAGATTAAATTGGTTAAATACAGCAGTGATAACGAGTGTTTAGATTAAATTGGTAAATGCAGCAGTAATAACGAGTGTTTGGGTTAAATTGGTAGATACAGCAGTGATATTGTGTTTATCTGTGAATCAGGAGTGTGCTGGATGTGAAGAGAGGTGTGTAGGTATTTATCCAAACGCCATAGGAAAAAATATGGTTAAGACACCACAATCAAATGGTACTTGTGATGATTGGCACAGTTATTATTTATGTTTGTGTTCGTCATTGCCTGTGTTTTCATTCAAGAACTTTCAAGCAAGGATATTTTAAGCTGAAGAAGAAGCAGCACTGGACACTATGCTCAACTGTTGCTGTAAGGAGAAAAAATATTGCAGCTAAGAGTGGTGAGAGTCGGAACAAATGCATCAGGAGCAGGACACTGTTACGTCAAGGTGGTTAATGGTATAAAGAAAGAAGAAACAAAACAATGTGACCACAAACACACAAAAGTTCATTCATCCCTGTCTCCATGCGTATGTTCTATGAGACTGTCGAAGAACAGAGTATCCAGTTTCCAGGACTAATGTTTGTGAAAATTCCAGGCACACAGACCAGCCAGAGGCTACAGAAATCGTGTCGGTCTGTGCCATGATTCATAGGTGTTATGAGTTTCTGGTGTCTAATACTATATTAAGCTCCAAAACACATCCTCACATGAACACAATATCATTGGTTAATCTAATAAAACATGGTTTGAGTTGTCTATTATTACAAGGGTGGGTATTTGCCTATTTAAGGCCAAGGTTTCCCAACTGCTAATGCATGTGCTCAGTGGTTATTATAAGGGTGGGTATGTGCTTATTTTAGGCCAAGGTTTCCCAACTGGTGATGCATGTGCTCAATAAAAAAAATAAAAATAAAAATTGAATAAGCAATAAAGTGTCATAACTTTACGGGTAAATGGGTATCACTCTTCAAAAGGTGGGTTTTGTTGTAGGGCAGGTACTGTTAAAATACGGTAGATTCAAGATGTACGGGTTTATAATGTTTGTTTTATGACATAAGTCAAAGGGTGGTTTGTAATGGTATTTATTAATTAATGACTTTTTGTCATAAAAAAGCATAATGAGCTTAATGCTTTAGACGCACCACTAGATGTCAGTAAAGCATATTTAGTGTAATGCTTTGGGGGCACCACTAGGGGGAGTGTGTAGGAAGACCTGTGCTTCTGGCAGTGACATCACAGGCCAGCCTACTTACACTGAATAAAAACCAGATGTTAGGAGAAGCAAGCTCTCTGTTTGCCTGTACCTGACTGATCATGTAGTACCAGCTCTGACTTAACCCCAGCCAAAGGGCTGGGGCCTTGTAAGTAAAATGTTGAATAACAGCTAGCAACTGTTATAGCCTTTTGTCAGTAATGTTGTAGTTTTGTATTGTGTAATTATTGTGGTAAATTGACATTCTGCTAGCATTTGTTTAATTGTTATTATAATTATATTAAATATACATTTAATACTACAATGTTTTGTGTATTTCCTATTATATATTCGACCATAATACCGAACTCTATTAATGTTGTTATTTGTTGCTTAATTATTATATATTAATTATTAAATTAATATTCATATTTAAGTCACGACTGTAACACTCTCTTTCAGAGGATTCATATACTTACCTGGGGATCACCCCCTATTAGTGCATTCTCTTTCCACAGCCCCTGTGTGTTTGCCTGGGTCCCTGGTAGCTGCCCCATGCCTTCTCCTCGCAGACTGAGTGTTTTAAATCCGGTATTAAGGCTTAACAGGCTGGCGGCATGATAAGAACGCTCGCGCATGCGCAATTTTGAGGCCGAAACCGATGACGCGTACTAAGGGAATAGTAGGTCGTGGCGGCCATTTTAAGTATGGGCAAAAACGGAAAATGACCCAAACTTGAATGCAAAACATAAAGTGAAGGTATTTAAGGCCCTTGAGGGCTTCGGGTAAGTGCCTTGGCACATATTCTTGCCTCAGTGTGTTCCTGGAAGTAGTTTGGTGTGTTTGGAAGTTGTTCTTAAAGTGCCAGTACTCTTTCAAGATCTTTGTCACAGGTAAGTTTATTTTTGTGATTAAAAGTTTTTTTGTGTAGCTTCATAACACTCCTTAGGGGGTCCTAGAATTTATCTGTTTAATTTTTAGCCCATTATGGCTTCACCATATAGGCTACATTTATCCACTGCTCCTTCTAGGTATGTATGATGTTCACTTTTATTATTTAAAACTTCCTCTCATGTTTTCGTGATATTCTCCAATTGATTTCTAGTAATGAGGAATGGATAATATCATCTCTTCCCAGGAAAAGAAGGGAGAAAGCTACCCCCTGTTCTGGCTGTGAAGGAAAGGCGGTAGATGGGAAACAACTTTGTACGGATTGTCTCCAGAAGATTGCCACTTCTTCCTCCGCTATATCATCCCAATCTCCAGACATACTGGCCTGGATTAGAAACGAGGTCGCTCAAGGCATCTCTGCTACTATGGAGGTAAGAAACTGGGTTGAGAAGAGACCCAGACAAAGGCTGGACTCCTCTAACTTATCCGATTCAGATGTATTGGAACCCTCTGGCGAATTCGAGATCTTGGACCAGGTAGATTACTGTGAGAGTGAAAGTGAAATGCTTTCTGAATCCCTGGATTACAAATCAGTGGATAAACTGATTCTTATGGTAAGCAAGACACTTAATTCCTGATGATACACACACGGTGGAGGAATCAGATAAGCATTTTGCTGATCTGCAGAAACAAAAGCTGTCTTTCCCACTCCATAGAGCAAGAGATAGTGATGTCGGAATGGAAAAGACCGGAGAAACATCTTCCCTTCCAGGCAAAGCTCTATCCATTAGAGGAAGAGACCTCTAGGATGTGGATAACCCCACCGAAGGTAGATGCTCCTATCTCAAGAGTGGCAAGAAATGTGATGTTACCTTTTGACAGTTCCGCTTCATTGAGGGAACCTATCGACCGCAAGTTGGATATTAATCTATCCAAGATCTATACTGCTGCAGGAGCTGGCTGTCACCCTGCTGTGGCCCTTACGGCAGTGTCCAGATCCATGAAGAGTTGGCTGAGAGAACTGGACTCTGATGTGGAAAGAGGTGTCAAAAGACAAGATCTCTGTGACACAATTTGAGACCTACACATGACAACGGAGTACCTGACTGAGGCTTCATTAGACATTACAAGGATATTCTCTTGAACCATGGCCTTATCTGTGGCTGCCAGAGGAGCCTTATGGTTACGTTACTGGGGAGCTGATGCTGCCTCAAAGTCTAATCTATGCTCCATACCCTTTGAAGGTCAGTTTTTTTTGGCAAGGCCTTGGAAGACTCCATAAAGAAGGCAGCGGAAGACCACAAGGTATTTTTGCCACAAGATAGAAGAACTAGAAAGCCAGGTACTTCATGGTCGGACAGACGTCCTGCTAAAGACACATTTCATGGACTCCCGAAGCTACCAACTTGGTAGAGAATTTAGTTGTGGAAGCCAATGGCGTGGAGGACAAGGCTTTTCCCACCGCTCTTATAGAGCTGGGAACCAGTCCTTTTGTCCCTCAGGGAAGGGATTCTGACTAACTGCCAGTAGTTGGAGCCAGACTGTCCCTCTTCAGCAAAGTCTGGACACAATATATTCAGGACACCTGGGTACTCTTCATAATTCTGGAGGGCTACAGGCTGGAGTTCAAGCAAAGGAATTTCTTTATGGCATTTCATATCCCTATGGACAAAAACAAAAGAGCCTGTTTGAAGGAATACGTGGAATAAGAGAAAGGGTCATCACACAACATACTGGCCTTGGGAAGAACGCTTCAGGGGGGCATTATTCTCCTCTGTTTCTAGTCCTGAAAAGAGAAGGCAAATGGAGACCTATTTTAGATCTCAGGTCCATCAACAGAAGGCTCAACATCAGGCCTTTCAGGATGGAGTCCATCCGTTCCATTGCTCCTACCATCAGAAGGCTGGATTTTTTGGTCACCATAGACCTAAAGGATGTGTACTACCACATCCTGATTGCACAAAGTCACCAGCGCTTCCATTTGCCATCGGAACAGACTATTTCCAGTTTCGGGCCCTGCCTTTCGGCCTAAGTACAGCACCAAGAACTTTTTCAAAGGTCTTTGTGGTGATCGTTGCCCGGATGTGGGGCATTGGCCTGTTCCATTATTTAGATCTTCTATTAGTCGCCTCAGACCCCCAGGAAGCAAAAAAATCAAAGGAACCTGGTTCTCTCTGAACTACGTCAGTTCGGCTGGCTAATCAATCCAGAGAAGAGCAGTTTAATTCCGGCTCAGAAGAGAGTCTTCCTGGGAGCCTTGTTCAATACTAAAGTGTACAAGATATCACTTTCCGAAGAGAGGATAGGAAGGCTTTGGACCTTCCTCAAGCAATTCCTACTGTCCAACCTGGTTACAGAATATCTGATCCAGATCAACAACAAGAAGTTGAAATGGAATCAACCCATCAAGATTTCTTCGATGGCAAGACTCCATCTTTCCTGGTGGTTAAAGAGAAGGAATGTGTCCAGAGGATTTCCCCTGTCAGATCCACAATGGGCAATACTTACCACGGATTCCAGTTCCTGGGCATAGGGAGCCTATGTCAAGACAGGTTCGCTCAATTCTATGGACTGCAACAGAGTCAGCCCTTCCGAGCAACACCTTGGAGTTGCGGGCCATATGCAGAGCCCTTCTACATTTCCAGACGACCCTAAAAGGACGCTGGATTCGAGTATGTTCGGACAACATGGCTGCTGTCACCTACTAGAATCACCAGGGTGGAACACACAGTCTCAGACTCATGAAGGAATTGAAACCTATAATGAGGTGGGCTATCATGCACTCCCACGGCATATCAGCAATTCACCTACCGGGAATCCGGAATACAGTGGCGGGTTTCCTGAGCCTCAATGTCAGGGTTCGAATGGCGGCTGTGCCCAGAGGTTTTTCGAAACCTAATCTTGAGATGGGGTGTATCCAAGAGAGACCTGATGGCCACCTCCCAGAACGCACAGGTGGAAGTGTTCTTCTCCAGGTACTTCGACCCGAAAGCCCTCGGTCAGGATGCTCTGACTCAGAATTGGGACTTCAAACTGACTTCTGTCTTCCCTCCGATCAGGGCCAGATTAAGAGCCCAGTGGGCCTGGTGCTGACAATTATGATGGGCCTAATTACAAAATCTTACTGACCAAAAACACTAAAATAGTCGTACTTCCCAAGCATCATGTATCTGATGGAGATGGTGCTGGAGGGAAACTCATGGATCTATGAGAAAACACATACCCTATGCTAATCTCACGCTTTCATCTTTCAAGTAAATCCATACTCCCTAACAGCAGTGTCCAGTAAAGCAGGAAGTCTATGAACGGGGTAAAAGGGTGAGCCACTGACGCAAATCACATAACCAGAACTGCCGAAAGGGGTGAACATACACAAAAAGGGGGCATGTCTGTGTCCCCATGTCCCCCAGTCCCTTAGTGTCTGTGTCCCCATGTCTCCCAGTGTCCCCATGTCACTAGAACACTAGGAGACATTGAGAGACCTGAGGACACTGGGCGATATGGGGACACAGATACTAGGGAACACTGGGAGACCTGGGGACACTGGGTGACATGGGGTACTGAGACACTGTGATAGATAGGGGACATTTGCTATATAGACTGTAAGTTCGTTTAAGCAGGGTCATCTTCAACCTATCATATCTGTAAGTTTTCTTGTAATTGTCCTATTTATAGTTAAATCCCCCCTCTAATAATATTGTAAAGCGCTACAGAATTTGTTGGCACTATATAAATGGCGATAATAATAATATATAGGGGACAATGGAGACTTGATAAAGACCTGGGTACAGGTCAAAACGTTGAAATGTTTAATAAACCTGCTTAAATCTATCACAACAGTGAGTGCCTGAGATTTTTTTCTTTCATTCTAGGAGACAATGAGACATGGGGACACTGAGACATGGGGGCACTGGGAGACTAGGGGATTCTGAGAGACTAGGGGACACAGACACTACGGACACTGAGAAACACCAGTGACACGGGGTACTGAGACACTCTGATACATAGGGAACACTGGAGACTTGATAAAGACCTGGGTACAGGCAGAAACGTTGTGGTGTCCTATAAACCTGCTTAAATCTATCACAGTGAGTGTCTGAGAGACATAGGGACACTGAGAGACCAGGGGACTTTGGGAGACTAGGAAACACAGCCACTCTACAGACACTGAGAGACACCAGGGACACTGGGAGACATGGCGATACTGAAATACTAGGGACACTGGCTGGGAGACATGGGGACACTGGTAGTGTCCAATGTCTCCCAGGTCTCAAAGTCGCCCAGTGTCCCCATGTGTCTCAGTGTCCTCTAGTGTCTGTGTCCCCATTGTTTGAATGCCCATGTCTCCCAGTGTTTCTTAGAGTCTGTGTCCCCATGTCTCCCAGTGTCCCTAGGACACTAAGACACTGAGTCTCTGGGAGACTAGGGACTGAGACACTAGGGACAATGAGAGACATGGGGCCCCCATGTCTCAGTTTCCCCTAGTGTCTCAGTGTCCCCAGGTCTCCAAGTGCCCCCTAGTGTCTCAGTGTCACCAAGTGTCCGTATGTCTCCTAATCGGACACCGTTCACATCTGTCACAGTTTCCCATAGTGTCTGTGTACCCAAGTGTCCCCTAGTGTCTCAGTGTCCCCTAGTGTCTCCCTGCAGACTTTCCCCCCCATCCCTGGGAGATGCTGTAACTTCTTATCCCTGCCTCTCTCCACACAAACAGCTACCCCTGGCCGGTGCTGGTATTGCAGTATTTCATCTGTTTATACCGAGAGACATTTGTATTGCCAGTATTACTGCAATAACGGCACCTGCTAAGCAGCCTCAAATACCTGAGAAATACTTCTGAGAAATACCTGGCAACCATAAGATATACCTGAGAAATACCTGGCAACCTTAAGAGAAAAAAAAAAAAGTATATATATATATATATATTTAAAAATTTTTTTAAATCAATGGGCCTATTCCATGGGCCTGGAGCTGCAGGCCCAGGCCCATTGATTTAAAAAAAAAAAAAAAAAGCTATGTTAATCCAGCCCTGCCTCCAATCCCTCTACTCTATACTGTGTGTAAGAGTCAGAGGGACAAGGTAGAGGCTATTGCCATTTTCCCATTTTGGCCACGTCGACCTTGGTTCCCTATGGCGAAACGGATGAGTCGGGAGGATCCGTGGGAACTCCCTGTCCGGCCAGACCTGATGCAAGGTCCTTTGAAGCATTCAGAGCCTCATGCTCTACATTTGAGGGCCTGGAGATTGAGCGGGAATCTCTCTTGAAGAAGGGTATAACTGATTCGGTTATTAAAACAATTTTTCCGGCCTGTAAGGTTTCAACTTCATCTACCTATTACAGGATCTGGCAGGCCTTTGTCAGTTGGGCCCGTGATAAGATTG